AAGGTATGTTAATTAACTTTTTTATAGTTGCTTTTTGGAATGATGCATCATTCAATTTACCCATCAAAACGATAAGATTTTTAACTTGAAATTTCAAACAATCATTTTGGATGAGGCAGCCCTCACCTTTAAAAACGCTACAAATAGTAGTGTACTGGCTAAACCAAAGAATAAATAAAACAATCTTTTTACTTGCAATGGGGTGGTGGATTAATATTTCCCCTGCACTAGTGGATTCCAGCTCATTTTTTTACAGTTAAAAGTGTTTTACTCTGTGTCAGCAGGGGTGGATTTTGCGAACAAAAATCCCAAATCCCTCCAGGATCAAGCTAAAACAATTTAATTTTTGATGAATAGTAGATTTCACAGCCTTTTCATTGATATATAGTGTATGGTGGTTATGCTTTAAATAGTGCTTCAAATCAAATAGTGCTAAAAACCTTTCTGTGAAGGACACCTTCGAAGGTCTACCATATCCATAATGAAGTGTCTAAATAAATTTACAGCCCAGCATTGAACTCTGTGCACAAACACTCATTGAAAGCAAGATAGTAGTCAAAGATTTTAATAATGTTTTGGTTTGACTTAATTTTTCAGGCCTCTTACACAGGAACTGAGTTTCTGAAGCCGAATAATTCATTGGGTAATGGTAAGTAACTATACAGATAGATAAGATATTGTGGAAAATATTTTTGATATTACAATAGCAAGAGAGAATGGGAAGTAGTGTTCCCTTTCTATGTTGTGTGGGTTCTTAGGAAAATGTATAGCAACATCAGGATTGGTCCTTTTGACCCTTTTGTTTGTAGAGGTGATTGCATGAGATGTAATTTCTCCCTGCCATTCCAATATGTTTTCTTACATTCAGGCTCTGAGAAAAAACAAACTTATCAGCGAGAGGGTGTTATCCTGATATAAAACCAAATTCTTTTAATTCAATTTTAATTCAGTCGGGAGAATCTGCTGAATGGATCTTGAATCACTTCCTAGTGACTGCATAACAAAAAATCATTGAATTGTTATTAATAGTTTCCATGTTTTAACAATTGTTTTCATTTTAGACGAGGGACCTTCTGTCGCTGCCTTGGAAACAGGGCAAGTAGTGGCTCAACTGCAAGTATGTAAATATCCTGTTTTATTATGTAACTCCACTAAGTATAGTACAAATAACGCAGAAAAGAAGTATAGATATCACAATATCATCGGACAGATGGTTATTTTGTACTATGAAAAACCTGTTTAACTTGAGTCAGCTGCGCGTGCCACGCTTTTTCTATTTGCTTCGCTTTTTACACCTAATAAGAAATATGCGTAAAATAAAGCAGTAACTAATTATTACATAAGTAATTAGAAGTTACAGATTATTGTATCGCTGGGCATTTTATATTGCTATTTGTTTGTATTTTGACTCACCCTCCAAGCTTGTCAAAATACAGTGCAACTTCTAAAAATAGTCAGTGATAACATAAAGCAAAATGTCTAAAGAGATATAATTTTTAATGTATAAGTGTTGGTGGTAAACTTCAAATAGAGATTGATAGTAACCAGTGAAGTATAAATATTTGTTAATCTGTCGTGATAATTATGAAGAATTTTCTTTGAAGAAAATTTGACCTAAAACTCAACTAATTTTGACACAGGAGGAGGAAATAGGATGATGTAAATGTGAAAAAATCATGTTGGGCTGCAAAAAAAAATTGTTTTCAGAGTTCATGATTATTATTACTTATTTTATTTATATATTGATCATTTTAATTTATGTATTTATGGTTGCTAGACTCTGGAAGAAGAAAATAAAGTCCTGAAAGCAAAGCTCAGGGAGCTGGAGAAGAATTTAAAAGTAAGTATCTCAAATAATGTTACTAGACAATTCATGTTTATTAACTGAGTTGAAAATGGAAATTGGTCAGCTTAAAGAATTTCTAAGGTGACGTTTCGAGCGTTAGCCCCTCGTCAGAGTGAAGGATGATAAAATGATTTGAGTTCAAGAATTACTGTAGTTGGTTTTTTTTTCTAATTTTAAGTTTAAAGTGTTTTACTCCTTGTTAGCGAAGGTGGATTGCTATAATAAATCCTAAATCCCTCCAGGCTTTATATTGAAATTGCATAACTGTTACATTTTAGAGGAGGGAGGAGAGAATACGTGAGAAAGAGGATGAAGTAAGGAGCATAAAAGTAAGAATCACAAAGAAAGCCACGAGGAACCGCAGAACAGAGGAAGAACTGCGTAACAAAAAAAGAGAGTTAGAAAGAATTAAAGTAGACTTGGACAGAACTCATTATGAGAAAAGAACAGCTGAAGAGGTCAAAGTTCTTATCCCGGAGGTTCAGCGCTGTGAAGTTCGGATAAACGAGGGTGAAAAAGAGTGGAGAGGGGCCAAAGGAAAAGTTATGAGGGGAAAGGTCCGTGACATAGAGGTTGTTGTAAAGGAACCTCTCTCTACCAAGCGTAAAGATTTTAAAGCCTTCAAGCGAGAAAGTGATATCATTTCTCAGCTTGATCACCCGAATGTGGTGCGATGTCATGCTACATTTGATGAGCACGATGGCCAATCACCGTGGATAGTCCAAGAATATGCCAACGGTGTCAGCCTGGGATACCATTTGAATAAGAGGTTATTCACACTGGTACCCTTTGAAGTATTGTCCTTTGCTCTTGATGCAGGTCGTGGCCTCTTATATCTACACACTCTTCCGTCTCCGATTGTTCATGGGGATCTTCATTCTGGCAACCTGCTCCTCTTCATAATTGGCTCCACCCCCCCAGTGCTTAAACTTTGCGACTTTGGTAAAGCAACTATTTTGGGAAATACCATGCCACCTAATCAAGGACCAAGTAAAAAAGTAAGAGACATTTTTCTGTTTATCTTTACATTTTGTTGGTGCGATCGCTAAGACTGTTAAGAAAGAACGTCGGATGTCCCTGGAATTTGTCGGAGATCCCAGAGACAGCGAACATTAAGAGAAAAGTTTCTCTTCAACCGAGTGTCAAGTCAGAATTGCTCGTCCTTTTGTTTGTTATCCTCGCGATCGCAGCAATCCAGTAGTGACCAGGCTAAGATATACAACTTTTAATTGGTACTTTGTGGCTAACGAAGTCGACAGAAAATCTCAGAGAAAGTTTCAATTGAGTATCAAAGAAAATTAGATACCTTCCCTTTATTAAGTTAAGCCGGAAATTTCCTTACATACTCCATACTACCCTTACAAAAATAAGCACATCTGCATCTACTTCGACAGTAAGTGAATACTTCTCAATAGCGAAGGAGACTACAGACCCATGAAAAAAACAAAAACGCACTAAAAAGTTTCTTATTAATGTATTTACCCATAACCACCAGTAACCATATGCTCTTTTTGGGTGCCTTTGTTATTCTAGGATGATGTGCTTAGCTTTGGGAAGCTGCTGTCAGACATGTTGCTCAAAATAAAGTGGCCTGATTGGATGGCCCGTCAGGAGCAAGTATATTTCCGTACTTCCCTGGAGCAACTGATAGAAAGGTGCACGAAAGAAATCCCAGAGTCACGACCAGACATGCAAAAAGTGGTTGACGATCTGAAGGATTTGGAAAATCGTTACAGTAATTTTCCGGGACAAGTAGAACAAGACCCAGTGGAAAAGTATTTAATCACTAAAACAAGCTTCAATAGACACTGATGTTTCAAGCCGAACGATTTGTCGTGTCATAATGTTGACCATTTCTCTGAAGTTATCAGATAGTTGAAAAAAAACAACAACAACAACAAAAACACACAAAAAAACCAAACCAAACCTAGAAATACATAATAATGATAAGATTAGCACTTAGAGCATTAATGTCATGATAAGCAAGGTGTTAGGTGTTCGGTTGCTTTTTACTCGGGCTACGTAGGTAGGCCGAGTCTAGGTTTCGGTTCCTTATGTTTTTTCTATCAGCATTGTCACTAAATTTGCTTTTTAGTGTTCGTAGAAAGTAATCAAGGTGCCATTTTGTAAAGTACTTCAAGTAATTATAAATAGGCGAGTGAGCTTAATTAGCAAATTGCAAGTTTTGTAATGTATTGCAAGTTATGTTCTGTTTAGTAATGTAATGTAAGTAACATTTCGCTGTAAGTGACTGTTAGTATAAGTAAGAAATAGGTACTAGTGATTAATTCAATAAGTAGGGTGATATCGAGTAATGTAAGCTGAGTACTGTAATGTAAGTTTAGTTCTGTGCAAATGTTCCTTTAATAAATGTTTATTAAATTTAAAAAATCTATCTATCTATCTATCGACAATATCGAAAGTGTGTTAGCGTGCGTTGCTTGACGGTCTGCGGTATTCCTCTACACGCATGAAAGCGAAGCAACCGTAAAAACGACGTGTCTGACGAGAAAACATGTGACTTGGTTTGCTCTTCGTATGTCTCTTTGCTCTCCGCTTCTCGTGGTGCAAGGTTTGATTGAAAATCATGAAGAACTGCTTTCCTTCTGGACCCCTTAGAGTACTTACACACACCATTCGCGGTAGACCCACACTTTAAGCTTTTAAGCCCCGTTAATTTTATGCTGTTATGATACGAGTTATTAATGATTGAACTCGTCATAAACATGTCATTTAAAATTTATATAGATAAAACCAATCCTGCACAAATATGATTAATCGTTACCTTCAAGCATTTTTGATACGCTGTCTTGATCATGATTGGTCAGTCCGTGCAGTGAAATCCCGAATTTGCTTCTGCGTCGATCAGTTCATAGCTTCAATACCCCCCCTGGACAGCCTCGCGGGCATTTGAACCTTTAAGAATTGGTTCGTTTCGTACCATTCAAGCACAATTTCTTATTGAACGATTCTTTTTGTGAGCAACGAATGTTGAAGAATTTAGCAAAGTCACGTATTACTTTTTAGTGCCGCTGTTTAGTTTTTTCGTTTGTAAGCATCACTCTACGGTGTGAACATTTCCTCTAAGCCATTTGCTCACGAAAGCGGATTCTTTACCTTGAAACTCCACCACTATTAAAATTAAAACCAGAATATTCGGCTGGTTCAAATTTGCCACCTCACCCAAGCGAGGCTCAAATTTCCCACCCCCGGTGGCACAAATGCCCATGGGGTTGCTTGGGGGGGGATGTTAAAGCTTCAAATTGATTGACGCTTAAATCTGTCTTGTTAACGAGACATAGGAGTTACAAAAGAAAGTTTTCAATGTGATGTTGAAGTCTCATGCGACACTAGATCCATTTTAGATCTAGATCTATCAGGGTTTCTATCTCTATCAGCCATGAGTGTTTCGCCATTTTGTCTGATAAGAAATTTTTTACTGAGGCGCTACGCCACAGACTCTAGTTTAAAATAAGGGGTTGTTTCGTGTGAAGTCACGAATCGCTGTCAAAGCTTTAAAGTGCATGCGTTTGTCGAAGGTTTCAAGTAAATAGCAGGTAAGAACACTCTTTGAAAGTATTATATTAGTATTTTGTATTTCACACGGCAATTCAAATATGAATACGAGAGTTTCACGTAAAATAGACTGCTTAGCCAGATTTAACTATTACGAACGCCTAAGCCCAAGGGATTATCGTCCAGTCAGCTGAATGGTGTCTTCCGTTTTAAATTAGGGCATTTGTACTTTGGAGACAGAACATGAGTTAAAGCTACGAAAACGTTTGCCATATATGATCCTTTAATTTTTCGCGATTGACGCCTTCGTATATCTCAAGTTCTATCACGTCGTAATTTATCGACGATTTAAAATTACCCTGTTATACTCTCCCAACCAGGCAACACCACAGTTTCTTTAGAAACTTACCCCCTTTATTAAATCAGAATTGGATTCGGCTACGTTCTTAGGAAAATTTTGGGGGATTCTTAGCATGTTCGGCAGAGTGTGGTAGCGTAATGACAACGGCCAATCTGAGGAAAGGAAAATACCTTTAAAGGGCCAATAAAAATTCAGAGTAAAAACAACCAAACAGCGTGAAGCGAGGGAAAACGCGGGCGACCAAGTCTTGGATCGTATTCTTTTTGCATCAGATCGGTTTAGAGATTGGTGCGAGTTTTCTGGACCAATCACAGTGCGAAGAAAAGCAAAACCAATGCAATGCCGGATTACTTTAGATACTCAATTAAAAATTGCTTTGATAGAACAGTTCTTTACTTAGATTAACTCAATTTTCACCACTTAACATATGTACTTAGAACTGCTCTTGCACCTGTCAGTATAACGAATTTATAAGAATGGTGTACTTGAGCTTTAAAGCTAAATTACATACTGAAGATATATTAATTTTTTTTTTAGTAAAGCATTTCTTATCTTTGCATAGAAAATAGAAATTAAGAAAGAAAAAGAAAAAGAAAACACGCACACACACACTCATATAGTACAAGTAGAAGAATACCAAGCTAAACACACACACAAAGCTATTTCAGCAATACAGTTACCTAGTATGTAAATTACAATGACATCACTTTAAATCTAATGATGGAAATTAATCATGACATCACTTATTCGTAACAACACTCATTAACTTTTCCCACTTTCTAAAATGATTGTTTAATTTGTCTCTTTTCCTGGCAATATGGAGTTCGATATTGTAAATACGCCTTGTCCTGGCTATGAAACCTTGAAGAGAAAGTATACCATTCCGGCATTTCCGAGAGTAAATATAAAACTTACCCAGAAGCAAAATATGGTTAAACAGGAGAAAATCTTCTGCAATATCGAACTTACCAAAAATGACATCTTCCTCTTTAAGGTTATCAACAGAGATGTTATAATCGCGCAACCAGGACAAGACATGTTTCCAAAAACTAGATGATACTCTACAGGAAAAGAGTAAATGCTCTACGGATTCAACCTCTGTTTGACAGAAAGCACAGGACGGCGAATCAGCCATGCCAAAACGAAACATTAATAGCGGAGCTCGCAGAGCGTAGCCCCATAATTATACAAAATTGTAGTAACCCATCAAGCCGAAAAAAATTTGGATGTGCGACCGTTCGACCGTGCGACCGTACGACCGACCGTACAAGGTGCTACTTTCAGCATGCGTGGCCAACTGTACCACGGGCACTATCTCATAATCAGTCCTCTACACGGATACGGAGAAGTTGCGAATGAAAGTCCATTAATATTACCACGCACTTTATCTATAGTAGGGGCTTTAGTTTTGTTGAAGAGACGTGCGGGAAAAAAAATGCGAGTTCCGCTTTTAGGCACGCCTAAATCTATATATTAAGACCCATAATAAAAAAACCTTGCTCGGGATTGAGATTTTCTTTAGTTGAAAATAAATCGTAAATTTTTAGAAACCCTTTATTACACCCATTTTGAAATTACGGGTGGTCCCTGTAATCTGATTGGCTCTAATTGGTGCAATCTATTCACAAATCACACCATTTTTTGCTTTAAACTGCCCAGCCAATGGGGAGGCTACACTAAAAACAAAACAACCAACTAGATTTCAAGACTTTTTTAAAGTAACCAATCAAATTGCAGGAAAATAAAAGACAAAGAGTATCATGGGGTAAATTTTGCAACTTTTGTTTTCAAAACTCTTATTCCCCCCCCTCCAAAATGGATGAATTTCATTTCAAAACGCCTTAATACTGCATCAATAAAATATTTGAACTAGCCAAGTCCTTTATTTGGGCAATTTCAAAATGGATATAATAAAGTGGTAATTGAACCTCGTGTCGTGCAATTTTGGTCTGAAATCATACTTGTGATTTCAAATCCCGCGTATGATTTCAGCTCAAATTGCACTCCACTCAGTTCAATTACCATCATAAATCTTCAATATCTCTATGATACACAGATTTCTTATTAATCCAGAGAAGCTTGTTATTCAAAATAACTTCATATGCAATTTAGTGTAGCAAGCTGGGCGTTTTTGCATTTACTTCTGACCACGCATCGAAACATTGTTTGTAGAAACTTGGCAGATAAATATTTAATTTAGAAGTATCAAAATTACAATGCGATATGAGCCTCCCACCAACAGGGATATGAATCTAATTTGAAAAAGCTTTCCACGCGGACTTTTATAGTCCTCCAAATATTTTTTATTCACATCACTCGTCTGATACGAACCATAGAATCGATATCGAGCATATTTAAACCACCCTTCTCAACTTCCGATATCATCACATTCCGTTTTACCCAAAGAGATCTGCTATTTCCTAAAGCTAAGGCTTCGGTTTTTTTCATTATTTATTTTTAAACCAGAACATTCACCAAAAGTCTTCAGCGTAACGAATAGGTTTGTATATGAACTGCTATCTTTGATAAAGCAGGTCATATCATCAGCGAAAAGAGAAAGTTTAACAGGTTCATCTCGTATCGTAATGCCCTTAATGCCATCATCTTCTTTTATCTTTATAGCTAAGGTCTCCAAAGCTATTATAAACAGGTAGGGAGAAAGGGGATCTCCTTGCCCTACTCCCTTTCTTAGTGTAAGAGGTCCTGTTGTGAAACCGTTGTTCATTACACAGCTAGAGGCGTTGTTGTATAAAACCCGTATCCACTGAATAAAAGAAGGACCAAGGTTAAATGCATGTAATACTCTTAAAAGAAAATTTAAATTGAGCGAGTCGAAAGCTTTTTCAAAGTCTATAGCCACTAGAATCCCAGGTATATCTTTGTATCTAGCATATTCAATCACATCATCGATCGTTCTGACGGAATCAAAAATTGT